GCGCGGAGTTAATTATAAAAAAAATAATTAGTAGCCTATGTGGTAAAACACTTTCCAATGTTCTACATCTGTGCCGCAATTTGGCAAGATCCGTTCAGTTTGGATACACATAGAAACAAACATCCATCCAAACTTTCTCATTTAATATTTTTGACAGTAATTGGAGTATAGAAAATGAAGAGGCACAAAAGTGTGATAACAAATTCGTTGGAGGAAAGCAACATTTTATCTGTGAAGACATTAAATCGATAAGGTCCGCACACAGATAAGCAATTAACAATTGTAATCCAGAGCTTTCCAATTAATCATTTAGATTTATTGTCCTGCTAACGATTTCAGATGTTTGGATTACTGTTTAATGAATTATTTCATTTAAAACTTTTCGTTATTTCTTAAATGTTTTAATGAATTTTAACTTACATAACAAAAACGTAATCAATTTCATCATAGTTGTTTGTTCAACTTTTTAATTTTAAGAACTAAAAAACTTTTTATAACTCAAAGTAAATTTAAAAAAACACCGCAAGATCTAATACTGGTACTGACCGTGAAGTAAATTGCATTACGTTTCCTTCACGGCGGACGAGTCGTCATGTTGAAAACCTTTTACAGGAACTACTCCTGTACTTTTTTATTCTACAATTATTGTTCTTCCAGGAATCCCTTGAGAACTTTGACTCCTAAGTGCTCTGTAGTAAATTCACTTTGGAAAATTCAAAAGCTTACTTGCATTTCCATTTTTCTACACAAAAAGGACTGAATAATGACACAAACTGAAACACACGCACATTTGTTTCATAGTTACATAGAAAAAAATCTTTAACACAGACGAATTAAAAGGAGCTCCGATTAGTTACTTACCTGATCAAGTTAAACTATGAAATATTCGCGTCAGTCGTTGTTAATCATTAGCAATTAACATTAATACGCTTTTTTCTTAATAGCCTTGAGTTTTCTCTTAGGAAAATTACGTACAAAAACTAGGTTATGTCATTTTCATCATCAACCGTCGTTAATCTAATCCCGTAAGATCGGCTCACCAGATTTTGTCTTCCAGGTTAAACTAGCTTTCGTCATCTATCGTCGCTTCAGAGTCATAGATATATTTGTTTTTGTTTAAACATTTCGGCAGTGGAAAATTAAAAAACTGTTGAGTAACAAATTCTAATACAAAATCCGTATCAATAAAGGTTCGACACGCTGCCAATCGGCTTGTGCCGAAATGTACACAGATAATTAACAATGCTAATGTAATCTGCAACCAGCCTGTCTATTCTGTGATATTTTACGAACTCTATATTAGCTTATTGTTTATGCCTATCTACATTATCATGAATTATCCTAACATGAAGATATATTTTATTATGAGTAAACGATCTTTTTAATTAAAAACTTCGAGTTCAATCTTAAATCTAAGATCGTCTCATTCGACGAAGAGTAACATATAATCAAATAATTCAATGATGTCTTATCTTCATTCCAATTCCAAACAGAATTCTAATTATTAATTATAGAACTAAATTAAAATAATGTTTGTTCAACTTTTTCTTCGGTACCATTATTAAACAGTTTTGCTAAAGTTCACCAGCTCATTACAAACTCTTTAGAAAGGTAGTTAATTGTTTGTTCAGAGTTCAACTTTTTGTTTTTACTTGCAGTTAAACTTGAATATAATTAAGGTACAATACCTTTAATAATTAGAATTCTTTTTGTTATTCTTGTTTTTAAATTGAAAAGAAAATGAATAATTCAAGAACATGGTTTGGAAAGTACGAAGATATAATTGTCTGCTATATTTTGGTTACTAGCATTATTCGTTTTAAATTTATTTTCTGTCTTACTGAGATAGGTAGTGTGTTGGAGGGCCTCTTGTAACCTGAATGGCTTGAGTGACTGACTAGTGAAATTGCATTTAATTCGTATTCCTGTCTACAGGTAAATGTAGAGCTAATGAAAAATCTTACGAAAGTGTTAGGAATGTTCCCAGTTCCCAGTTTCCCAGTTCGTCCTAAATCTATTTTAGTCTTAATGAAAATTAAATAATGTTTTGACCTGGAAGAAATTTATGGATTCTTTTATATCTCTTGTACTTAGTTGTATTTTTATACGCAACAGAAAAACTCTGATGAAATATTATGTCGGTCTGTTGAAAGGGGCCGAAAAAATTACAATTTTATGTAAATGGCTTTGGGCTTTAAGAAGCCTTTTGCGCGTATAATTAATGCTTTCAATGATTTGTCGAAAGCTTTTGTACTTGTTAGTTTTAATAAGGCGTAAATTAATTTTGAATTGATCATCAGCAGTACGATGACTCAATAAATGCGAAGAGCGTAGTAACCTTTACATGTTACTTTTTAACAGTTGCCCGCGTTGGCGTTATTAGCCAACTGTTGGTTGCGACTTCGCTCGCGTAAAATTAAAAAATAGTAAAATCATAGACCATACTCAGTGATAACATAGCTTTTTAATGGTGAAAGAATTTGAAATCGGTCCAGTAGTTTTTGAGTTATTTCAATATATACAAAAATCCCCTATTAAGTCCCTTTTCCGTTCCACCCTTTTCTTATAAGGAAAGGATTCGATGGGTCAGTGGAATTGACGGTGGAGGAGACGCTAGAAAGGGGAAATATCCTCTTTATGCGCGTCTCCTCCGTCGTGATTTTGGGTAGGCAACGCATCTGCAAATTCGGATGTCTATGGGCAGCGGGCGCTTCGCTATTTTGGCGGATTTAGGTGGCCGCTTGCTCGCTTGCCACCTTATTGTATAAAAAAAAGCCAAATATACAAATCTTTCGTCTTTACAATATTAGATACTACCTTTACCCGCGACTCCGTTCGCGTGGAATTAAAAAACAAAAGTGAGTAGACTATGTATTCTTCCAGACTATCCTCTGCATCCATACCAAATTTAATCGAAATCCGTTCAGACTTTTAGGCGGCAAACTAACATCAATCCATTCATCTAGGCTTTCGCATTTATAATATTAGTATTAAGTATGATAGCAGTGGAAATGTGACTAACGTCCTTACACTTAGTGGAAAAATAATACCAATAAATTGAACACAGGTCCAAATGGATATTTATTTCGTATTTGTAATTGAAAACGACATACATTTGATTGGATTCATCATTGAAATTTAATAATTTCAATTATAATTGTTTTTCTGAACATATTTATTTCTTGTAACTAAATTTACACGATAAATAAATATAAGACATCTTGTAACGTTTATTTTATTTGAGTTTACATATAAATGTGCGTGAATATCTTATTTAGCGATGTTTAATTTTTTAATTAACAATTTAAAATTATCACAAATCCTTCATTATTAACAAATATTATTTATTCTACATCCTTAACATACATACGTACATACATACAAGTGCCAGAATTATCAAATAGTTATTTCCTTTCGAATTTCGTTGTAAACTTATTAACTGATTAAAGTGTGTACAAACTAAGTCTAACTATGGCTTCCACTGGCGAAAGACATCATCAAAAATAATATTTTGCAAATAGTATGAGAGGAATAATTTTGTACTTCTACAGTGGAAGCTTACGGTAAAACGAAAAATCTGTTCTTAACACTAGACATAATTTGTTCAATATTAAATTACATATATCTTATCTATTTTTTTATAATCCAAACTATATTTTAAAATTGTAAACATTTCTTTCCTTCTGTAATTATATACTATGATAAATTGTTTTCAACAAAACTCACAATTAGGGCGCACGCACACCTTTGACTATTTCACAAGTGTTGAGTCTCTGATTCCTATGAACTTATATGAAGGTGCGCACACTACTCGATTTTTAGTTGTGGAACCAGTTGAATTTGCTTCGAAACAATCGACAATAGTTTAGTCAAAGGCCGCCCGCACACATCCGACAGAGACATTATTAAAAAATCATTCCTAAACAATCTTTCATCTGATCCAATGCAACGTATAGTATTTTTCAAATATCTGCGCAACGCTTCTAACTATAAAGCCTTTACGTTTTCATGAGATGTTGTGAGTCGCAAAATATATTTCTAAAATACTATAATACTCTTAAAAATTTAAGGCAAAAACATTTAAAACAGACTTACCAAATATAAAAACGTTTTAACAAATGAATTATTTTTATTTTTTTGGAAACTATAGAAATTTAAAAGGATATAATCATTCTATATGATATAAAGTACTGAATAATCGCAGATTTTCACTGACATCATTAAAAAAAATCAAAACATAACATTTGTAGCCAGTGAAAGCCGACGGTAACTATATTTGTTATACAATTGTGCGTTAATTTTATGCCACTATATTATATTGTTGATAATTTTTATCATAAAAATCATTTTTTTCTCTTAAATGTACTGAATAACTAAATTTAATGATAATTTCTGATAGGCGTAGTATAATTGACCAAATATCTATAACAATGCAAAGAAATGCAAACAACATTTACAATAGTCCATAAAAACATTCAAATATATAAGCATAGGAACCATGGCCAAACTTATTTAATTGCGCAAACTATTTTATACACTGTACAATTTCAAGACGTGACCTATGACGTCATTGATCATCATAGATATACATAAATAGTAGTAGTGGAAAATACAGCTTTCGCTTCTTTTCAACTTAAACGCGACTTTTGATGTTAAAGATAATTGAATTATAGAACATATTACGACTTTTGTACTGGAACGATTAGGCCGAAACCATAAAATCACTCATTTAAACCGATTTGTCAATATTTACTATTGAAAATTTTAACTAATTTAAAATTCGATATGTTATTGTGGAACATCCCTAACAAAAATAATTAAATGTTTAGACAACATACAATGTATATTTTACTGGTTTAAAATGTAATTATTGTTTCAAATCAAGACCTAATATGTTAAAAAATGAAAATATATGGAGATACATTAATATTGCATTAAAAGTGTTGCAATATTTTGTCAAAATTGCCAAATGATAAAAAATAATGTACGATTTTTTTTTTATTTTTCTTTACAAATTTTAAAATTTAATTTAGTACAGAGTATACAATAAAGAATATACTCGCATAATTATACAATTGGCCGTTAATAACTGTTAAAAAATTTAATTTAAAAGTCAATCTGATATGTTCTACAATTCACTATCCCATTTTTGATGTAAACATTTTAAATGGTCATAAGCTCTCCTTGTTATATTTAAAGTCGGTACAATTTCTAACAAACCGCATTCCCCAATCAAACTAAGTCCAGCAAGACCTAAATATGTGTGCATCGGATCAGTGCAAGTATCCGGCCATTTTGAAAAACCCCCAACAACATAATCCTGAGTCTCATAAACATATCTTTTGTTACTAGAATAATTAGTTAAATGTAGTGCATCTAACATTTTTAATGAAGCACCTACCCAGAAACTATAGCATGTATCTACTGGCTTGTTAGGCCTGCCTTGGAAGCCATCGACTTGTCTGAACACAAGCCATCTCCGGAGACTGTCCAGTTGATGTTCTGACAGTTTGTCTAAGCGATTGGTGAGACTTAGGGTTGCCAGAGCGCAGTAAGTCGTGCCCCCGTGAGATTCTAATTCAGGACATTGTGCTATCCCATAATCATAGCCCTGGAAACAAAAAAAATATTTGTATCAAATTGAAATCTTGCTAACAATTAACAACCTTATGGTAGTGCTGAAAAACCATTGAACAATTGAATGTCGTGGTTAGTGATTTATATTGTTTCCTAAATTGCAATAAAATATAAAAAAACGGATTATATCCAACGGTCACCCCGCTCTGTCCCCACTTCAGAATAAAAGTATCATTCGTCCCACCTTTTCGTCCCATTATCACCAATAAGGCGACAGATGTATCGACAGGTGTATATCGTTATGAAATAAAATAATTTCCAACCGTCCCCTCGTCGTTAAAGGTGGGACGGATGAAAGTTTTTACTCTCATCTGTTCCCACGTGGGGACATGGCGGGGTGACGGTTGGGAATATTAAAAAAACTGTACTCACAAAATACTGACAAAGCAATTAAAATGGTGTCAAGTGAAACATAACACCAAGTTTATTGTTTCACTTGTGTTACAAACAGTAAACAAAAATTTGTTATACTGTACATATCATAAATAATCATCTATCCATGCAAGGAAATAAAATTGGAGCATCTGAATATAGCGTACCTGTATAAAAAAATCATATATCGCGCACATGCTGTAATAAGTATGCTTACGACAAAAAACTAATTATCATAATTTTAGTCTGTCTGTCCAAAGTCCGCGTTTGTTAAGGTTAATCCCCAAATGCAATCTAACCTGATATTATAAAGAGAAAAGATTTCTATTTTTGGATTTTTGTTTGTATTGAAATATCTCAAAGACTACTACCGATTTAAAAAAAATCTTGCACCATTCAAAAGCTATATTATCACTGAGTAACAGCTAGTGTTAGAAAAAATAGTTCACTTAAACATACGTACCATACATTTAATGATATAGTCTGTGGCTTTCTCTACATTGAAACCGGACCAGTCGTTAAGAATGTAGCTGATACAAGCCGCGCAGTACACGAACCGCATGTCCGATTCACATCCAGAGAGAGTCGCTGAGAAATTCCCTTCTTCCGTCTGAAGCGCCTTTACACCTGCATGTGAGAAACAACCCTCATTGTCTATGGTACATACACAAGTAGACAGATCGTAAATTACTACTTCTACCTACCTTACTAATATTATAAATACGAAAGGTTAGATGGATGGATGCTTGTTAGAGTTTGTAGGCTGAACTGCTAAACGGATCTCGATAAAATTTGGCAAAAATCTAGAAGATAGTCTGGAAGAACACATAGGCTACTTATGTTTTTTTAATAACCACGCGGACGGAGAGGCAGGCGAAAGTACACTACATTTGTTTTCTATTATGTGTAGACTTATTCTGTCATATTGCGTAACATTCTCCCAATTTTTTAACTCCTAATAAATTTATACAAACTGAGTATTTGGCTTTTTTGCCATGTTATTGCATTACAATGGACAATAAAAACTTAGGCAAAAAGAAGCATTGGAAAGAGAGAGTTAGTGTACAAAGCCATTGAAATTGACTCTTGAAACTGTTCATGACAATTATACTTTGAACAAAAATGCAATAAAGGCAGTTTCTGATAAAAACGATAGATGCCATTAAGTATATAAACGATTGTTATACTTTTAGTTAAATAGATCTTTTTATATTAAAGTTAAATGCATGTACATGTAGAATACTCACCATTAATGATAGCTTTCCTATTAACCCTCGACAAATCATCACCCAAAGCCAACAGAGTACACAAAGCAGTATAGGTCATAGCGAGATGACCACATCTGTACTGACTATTCGCGTTATCCAGCTCTATGTTTATAGTCGACGAGCCTTGGAAGCCACATGTCGACATATCACCATCTTTAAACAGAAAGATAAAGACACGATTTAGACACCATGGAAGCCTTTCGCTAGAACTAGGGCACTAATGCGCGGTTTACACTTGGTCAGTACAGTTGGACAATTGCGACGGCCAATCATGCATTGTAGAGACAGGCGCCAGTTATAGTTAACACTGTGTTATTGATTCAGTCCAGTTATTGACCGCTACTATACTGGTCAAATATGAACCGCGCTTAAAGGCAGTGAGAGACGCCAGTTATTTTTCGAATTCCAAAATAAATAATAATTGGGTTAACGTAAGAGATATATCATAAAGACTTTCAAATAAACGAGGTATAAAGTTAAATTTATTAAGTTTTAGTTTTAGTTAAATTAGTTTGGTCTAGTTAGTTAGTTTAGTTAGATTTAAAAAAAATACATAGTTAAACATATTCTAAAGATAAAGTTCATTCGGATAAGATTTTATTTAAACTGAAAACTATTTTAATAACCTATATTCAATGACATCAAATTAATTTATAACATTAAAAATTACAAGTGTAGTGAAAATATTTCGCTTAGCGCAGCTGAACAAAAACGCAAACGGCGATATTAGCCGTGTTGATTTTAAACCTTTTTAACTTCAAGCTGAGCAAATCGCATGCGTCTGCTAATTGCTGCTTTTTAATGTTTAGTACTGCGATAAAGTGCATAAAGATAAAGACTGTATATATAATTTTCTTTTAATTATCAAACTTGTAAAGAAAGTTAAAATCAAATTTTGACACTGTTTGCTTGAGTTAAAAATCTATACAACAGTATGTGAAATTAAATTAAAAGTACATTTAATAAATTTTGCAACTAGTGACCCGACCTTTGCCTGGGTGGCAGATTATTTACCGCATCCATACTCTTCCTGTTGATGTCCCATTTCTTATGCCTATTATTATATAGCTATGCCATTTATTTTCCGAGTCTCAATGCAAACAATCAAATCTTTCCTTTTAAAAATAGTGACGATCGCTCTAATATACATTTAAATATTTACTATATACATACATACAATATACATTCGAAATATTTTACAATGACTTCTGATCTAATACCGTTTTAAAAGTTTCCGCGCAGAATGTTTATCATACTAATACTATAAATGTTGGATTAAGGGCCCGATTCAAAAGACAGTTATTTAGGAAACCGCACGCATAGTGAGGAGGTTCCTGACTCCGCAGCCCAGACGACTGGTTGCTTGAGTCATCGGATTCCGCAGTCGGTGGTGCTCTCTTTTTTATATAATGCGTTTTATTTTATTTTTATACAAATCTTTTAAAATAAATATAGAAAATAAGAAATAAAGATATATCATACTATCATACTAATATTATAAATGCGAAAGTCTAGATGGGTGGATGGATGGATGTTTGTTAGAGTTTGTAGCTTAAATTACTGAACAGATCACGATGAAATTTGGCAAAGACGTAGAACATAGTCTGGAAGAACGCACAGGCTACTCACTTTTGTTTATTTTTTTAATTCCACACGACCGGAGTCGCAGGCAAAGGCTAGTTAAACATAAAGTAAAGTAATTGTTGAACAACGTCAAAAGTTACGGTAGCTGATTACATGTTAATTACATTTATGATATTAAAATATAAAAGTACATACAGATCTCTTATCAATTCTATTGCTTAATTGTCGAGTTAGCTTCCATTGTTAAGTCAACAATATTGTGACGTAAGTTGGTCATATTCAACTTATTTACCATAGTTTATAGTAGTACACTTATTTATAACATCCTTAAGTATGTTTACCGCGTATGTTTAATCATAATTTAGTAGTATTAAATATTCTTAATACCATATGTGATACAAAACACGTAAGATACTATGATGGAGCAAATAATATGGGTGATGGATTGTTGTTTATTTCGGATAAAATAAAGAAACTACGAGAAATTCTCTTACAAAGTTGAATGTCTATTCTATTTTTCACTTTAATGATTCTAACCTATATTTACGACTCCATCTGCATTAAATTAAAACAAAATCAAATACGTGTTCCTCCATACTATGTTCTACATCTGTGCTAAATTTCATTGAGATCCGTACAGCAGTTTAGGCTACAATCGCTAACATCCATCCATCTATACTTTTGAATTTACAATATTAGTAAGATAAACTCTTTTGTTAATGTATATCTATACTAATATTATAAAGAGGAAAGATTTGTACTTTTGGATTTTTGTTTGTATTCGATTCACGTAAAAACTACTAGGCAGATTTCAAATATTCTTTCACGATTAGAATTGTAATTTATCTGTGAGTAACATAGGCCATGTTCTCACGCGGGCAAAGTCACAGGCAACAGCTAGTATCAAATAAAGCTGAGGTAATGCTAATCTTGAATATTACTATCTGTTAGTGTAGCATTTTTTAGGGGACTTTGAGCAATGTCAAACAGTGCATTCTACAAGCATATAGTCTGTGTAAATAATACGCTGTTTGTAAATGTGGCTGTTGATTTCAAGATAAATACTTAACATTTCCACAATGTTAAATGCAGATATAAATATGTATTAAATTTTTAACTATTTTGCAAAAATCAGTCAATTTTAATTCTTAGTAGTGCAATCTATATAATAAAATTGAAGTGTCTGTAATGTCAAAAAGAAAAATTCCAGATTTACGGTAGATGATGTATTTGCATTGCTGAAAACGAAAATAGAATTACTTTTTTTTGCCTGTCTGTCCACTAGCCGCGTCTGTTACAATCTCTGAAATGACTGGGCCCATTACGACCGGATTTTCACTGAAGGGTATCTTACATAGATGGGCATTTTATAGGCTACTTTTTTATCTTAATAGTACGTAGACGAAGTCGCGGGCAACACGTAGTGTCTAAAATGAATAGTAAAGCAAAAACAAATATTTTTACTCTAAACTGAAGTACACTTATTTGTAAACCAAATTTACTTTATGGAAGGATTCACATAATTTTAATCATATATTCAATTTAAATTAGGTAAACAGACTGATGTCATATTTATAAAAAACCTAACAGCAGAAACAAATAAGCAAAAAGATATTGACATCTTTCTCATTTCGTTTAACAAAACTGAGTACTGAGACTTGTCATTGGTTCCTACAAAACCTATCATAAGACACTATTATATGAAATATCCTTTGTTGCATTTTTTTAAATTATGATGATTATTACTAATTTCTGTGTGAATTTGAAACTGTAGTATGTTCATGGTTGACACAATAAATATTTGTCTTACAAAATTTACATTTCAGACATACACAGCAGTTTACATTGGAGCCATTAAGGTATTGTACAGGTATTCCAGCAACAGACACCTACTTTAACAAAGGCATATTCTACATATAGAATCTTAGATAAATAGTATGTTACATTTAAATTTCTAGATTTGTTATTTGTCTTTTAGTTGTAAGACATTAATAATGAAAATAAATAAACATACCTGATTTACGAGGCTGTACTTGTAATAAGTAAAGCCAGTCTATAATTCTTGACCTTAACTCAATAGATATTGATGTTATTGATCCTAACACATCCAAGCCAGCAACAGAAAAATATGCTATTGTTACCCTGAAACATAATACAAATTACATTTTAAACTATGTTATGTCCATAGAAAAACATTTAGATGTTCTATGTCAACTTCCAGAGGATGGGAGGTTGTTACTCTGTAAAAAGTGGCGATTATGCTAGAGTAATGTGGACCCAATTGGTCATTAGCCACCTAATACTACAAAAAAAAATCAGGTTTATATTTTAAGAAATGTATTAAGACATACCTGGTCGAATCATGGGAAGACAACGAGGATGGCAGGATATTAAGAAATCTCATAAAGTATTTCACATGCTGCCGATGAGCTAATTCCTTGTTCTCTTCATTAATCATTTTAGTTTTTTTTTGAAGTGAAAGTCACAAATTCTGATTTTGAAATTAGACACCTATATTTATCTAGTTATTTTATTTAACTTTATAACATTCTTTGATTTAAGGAATAAATTTAGAGGTACATTATCATAAAATTTATAAAGTAAATAGGGTGACTAACTATTTATTCTTCCAAGAACCGATAGTTTCACGACATTTGAAGTTGAACCAAAATCACAAATGTCACTCCTTAAATACAAAATTCTGACATTTCATGTCAAATCAAACATCAATCAATTACTTTCCAGTATTGCTATCATTATCAAAGTTTGTTTTCTGCATTTCATCATCTTACTATGTTAAGAAAAAGTGTGTCCGTCGTTGAAATCACGCCTGAATTCTCAAACACTTATTTTACCTAAAACTAAGGACAGGAAAATGAAAGGTAAAAGCGTCCAGAATGACCTGATAACACCAGATATCACAAACAACTATTTTGACAGTTGTTTATGACACCCATTTCTATGTGTTGTCTACTAACTTTATGGTTCTTTTTCATGGCTGACGTTCCAAGGAGCTAACCGAAGTCATGAAGGTTTATAAAAAGTGTTTTTATTTCTAAAGTCCCTTAAATTGTAATAAAATAGTAGTGTTACTGGATTATTCATTTCCTTGCTTGGTTAATTAAAAGGCTAAATATTTATTTCGTGATTTGATTTTTAAGAATAATGTGGATAAATATTGATGTTCGCTGAAATGAACATGAGTGTTCATTTCACTTTTTATTATATGTTCCCTCAAAGTGCCGTTACTACTGTTATCCTTTATAGTCAAGCTTGTTTCATACATTTTACGATATAAGTTTGATTATTAATTGTGCGCGATTCTAACCTATAATTGTTGTTGTAGTTGAACGTCTCCTACCCGGTAACGGGATGTCAGAAGTTATTCGAAGTGGTGGACGAGCACAAGCTCCGTATCTTTTATGAAAAGCGCATGGGCGCTGAAGTTGAAGCTGATCTACTAGGAGATGAGTGGAAAGGCTACATTCTACGTGTTGCCGGCGGTAACGACAAGCAAGGATTCCCCATGAAACAGGGAGTTCTTACCAACAGTACGTATTCAACAGTATAAACCCCGCATCTTATTGTTTAAAATATTGTATTGTTTTGAAAATTACGAACTTTATTTTCTAACGACATATTTAATTATGTTTTAGGCCGTGTCCGTTTATTGATGTCCAAGGGTCACTCTTGCTACAGACCTCGTCGTGATGGTGAGAGGAAGCGCAAATCAGTCCGTGGTTGCATCGTCGACGCGAACTTATCTGTTTTGGCTTTAGTTATTGTCCGCAAGGGTGCCCAGGTAATTTTGTTTCTATTTTTTTATTGCAACAATTAATGCAAGCTTTCCCCTGTTCTTACTATTTCTCAGATCTACAAATCTGAGTAATTATATGCGGCAGGGCATAATAAAAATTATGTGAAATACATTCTCATGTCATACTGTAGGCATGGGCTATGTTTTACATTGTACAAATTTACTAAACACCATTAGCTATTTCATATATTATCTACTAAGCAGTATTGCTAAATACTGGCATGTGTAACAAACAATTACACCATCATGAGGATGTAACAAACTCCTTAGTTGCATCTACTATGTAACTTGTCATTTATAATTTAAATCCAGTATTATAGACTCATGTCAATTGTCAAAACTTTTTTTAAATGCTTACACTACATTTGTCTGTAGGTTTTGGGGTTTTCAATTTTTCTTGAATGATTATCTTTAACTGATAGTAATAAAGTCAATTTTCGTCATGTCAATTAGACATTAACAGTTTTTTCTGTACATTTTCAGGAAATTCCTGGATTGACAGACAGTGAAGTCCCGCGTCGTCTTGGTCCCAAGCGTGCGTCTAAGATCCGCAAACTGTTCAATTTGACCAAGAAAGATGATGTTCGTCGTTATGTCGTCAAACGTCTTCTGCCCACTAAGGAAGGCAAGGAAAATGCCAAGCCCAGATATAAGGTAAGTTTTTATAAATGATAATAATGACGCATGTGGATAATCCCTGGTATTTATTGTTTGTTAGATTAAATATCTAATAAACAGCACAATCAGGGTAAAAAAAAAATTGGCACCGAGCAGAAGATTCTGATTTTTGTCTGTCTCTTTTACAGTGTGCTGTACAAATAAAATATTTCAATATTGTATTTCACTTATAACAACTCTGTTAAAGAGATCTATAACATAAGTCTCTTGAATTTAGTATGCATATTCAATGGTTTTAATTTATTTTTTGGCATTAATTTCACTCAACTACCAGAAACTCTAGATATAGCTGATCTGTTTAAAAGCAACATGCATACTTTGTAATTGAAACACCAGATAGATCTAATAATTAATGACAATTGTAGGCTCCCAAGATCCAGAGGTTAGTCACCCCTGTGGTGCTACAGCGTAGACGCCACCGTTTGGCGCTGAAGAAGAAGCGTCTGGCCAAGCGCAAGGCATCTGAGGCTGATTATGCCAAGCTTCTGGCACAGAGGAAGAAGGAATCTAAGGTAAGAATAAAATCTTTTTTTAGAAAAAATATATTTAATTCCTTAAATTTTAAGTATGGTCAACAGTAGGTATCACATATGCACAACCATTTGTGCTAATCATACCCTCTGTAAGATTAAGGGCTGTGTCTTACCCCTTGGTGTATACTCAATATATGCTATGGTATTAAATCAGCTACAAGGTATAATCAGAAAATATGATGAACTTGCTGCCAAGTACAATATTTGAGAGATTCATTTTATCTCCCTCTAAAATATATCAAGTGTGGCAAACTATTACGATCTTTAGATTGATTAAATGTGGCAAAATGGAAGAACCCAGATAAGCGAAAATGTTAACGCATTAGTCAAGTGAGATTTTTAAAATATCTTTAATGAATTTATGGAAGATGTTCTAAAATTGTTTACTTGTTGCAGGTGCGCCGGCAGGAGGAGATCAAGCGCAGGCGGTCGGCGTCGATGCGTGACTCCAAGAGCTCAAGTCACAGCGCTCCTCAGAAGTAAAAATACTTTTTAAAAATATAAAAATTGTAAAAGCTGTAACCATTTCCTTTTATTAACCTGATTTTTCCATGTATAGGCAAAAAAGCCAAATGTGATATTGAAAAGGTAAATTTTGTCAGTTTGAGATAAAAGCAGTTTTATGTAAAGGTTTTTTTTGTCAGTGAGATAAAAGCAGTTTTAAAATGTAAAGTTTATTTAAATTAAATATATCAAAAACGAATCACCGTCAATAAGTAACGGTAGTATCGATGCAGGCAGGCAATGTACTCGTCAATTTATTTTAACTACTGCGATGCTTCAATAATCCTAATCCAACGTAACGAGCCATCACTCTGAGGTAAGAGGGGTTTAGTTTCTTTCGCTTCCCAAGTAACGATTTGATCAATTTCTCTGATGAATCGTCAAACGGTTTTTGATAATCTGATGCCTAAAAAACAATTATACATGAACTAAACACGGCTTCAAGGTAACTAACCTAGGCCGTTAATTTGTCTAATTAATTGAATATTTAAAAAAACAAAGTAAATATCACCCTTACAGTTGTTTTCGCGATCCAACATAGTTCGTCTAAAAGACTATTGTCGTTGGACTGGGACAAAAATGATATACCTTCGTTCTGAAAAAAATATAAAATAAAGTTTTCTAAGATAACCTAATACACATTCTGCATATTTTGTACAAATACCAATCAAAAACGCATGAACAAAACTTCTGTAAGGCCGATCGATAGAGGTTTTGATAAAAAAAATTGACAAATTACAATCAGTTTATATTTTGAAAAGTTTTACCTGTGATATACAGAGATTCTCTTTTTCAATCACTTCAATTTCCATGTCAAGTTCCGCTGCTGTGGTTATTCTGTTCACTGCAATCCCTTGCAATAACATCGGTCGGAATCGATTCAGATTTCTGGATTCCTTCTTGTTAGATAATAAAAGAATAAGAAGAGCCTGTGCTTGGGTGATCTCTTTTATCCAACTTCTCATCTAAAATAAACATAGAAAAGTAATATAATGCTAGACTAATCTAGTACAATTCATGATTTCCCTAGCTAATTCACAAATAGGCGGAATTCATGATCGTTGGATTACATTGAATCGGATAGTAAAAATTTTTTACTACTACAAAAACCGCATACCTCAGTAATAAATGACATGATCGCTTTATCCGAGTGACCCAATAAAACTTTAGACAATGACTTATAACATCCGAGGGCATGAAAGAAATCGTCTAGATTTGTAATTTTATTCAAAGAAGTACTACAACTTTCTTTTGACATGCTCGTCAGAGACTTACACTTCTTGTGAAGCTTAACAAATGTTTTCTTGACGCGTTTTTTTGCAACCTCATGACCACCTTTATCGTTTTTTGACATCATCATTTTAATAGTTGAATCTACGTTCTTCATTCTCTCGTATGGTAGATCACTAATTGTTAAAGTCATTGACAATTTAGGCATTAAATTAAGCGTTTGGCGTAGATCATCGGAAAAATCAATGCAACAATTATGAGAAGGAAAAAATGTCTTATTCCATCGATTTATTCCTATCATAAAATTGTTTATCCCAGAAATTACATTTTCTATTTTTTTTAAACCTAAAGCATATCTGATCGTGGTAAATGGTGGAATATATGGCACCATTGCTGTGCACGTATTTGTTAATGGTTTAATTTTCATTCCTTGATCATTTGTAACATCAGTTATTATTTCAGAATGAAATTTTATGTATTTCCGTAAAATTGGCGAGAAATGTATTAACCGTTTTATTTCGATTTTCTTTATCGGTGTATTCATTTGACACAAATCATAATTTGAAGGAAGAGGGCCGATTTTTCGATCTTTATTCGGCATTTCTTGTTTCGTAAACTTTCCTGTTATTAAACCTTGCAGTTCAGAACCAAACTGCATAAATGGATAGAAAATAATCCGGGGAATAATCTGATTAGTATTAGTTTGAATATTGAAGGGAGAATTGTGTATTTCTGTGAAAGTTTTATCTTTCATTATGTGCGAGATGAATTTAGGCAATATACTACACAGCTGGGCAGGCAACATTCCATTAGAAATTCTATCCTGACATTTGTATAGCATACTTTTGTTCTCTGGTGTGATAAATGATGAAAACGAAGGAATCGTCGAATTAAGAGGAGAATCCGTTACCGAAGGAATGCATATATCAAATTGTAACATAACGTTCGTCAAACTATGGTGTACTGATACTAAGGTACTTGTAATCATTTTAACATCAACTTTTAACGGCATAGCATTCTGATTGTCGTCAAATCCTGGTATAGTCGAATTATCTGTATCATTTGTAAAAACATCTTGAATTATATTTTCGTCTTCAGGGATTGTTTCTACCTTGGGGATGGGTATTAAGACTTCTGTGCCTAGAATACGAGCAATGTTGTAATTATTACTTATTTGTAGAATATTAACGAAGGTAATTTACTACATATAATAACTTACTTGTTAATTTACTATTCTAAATAAGCTCATAGCTTTTTGTTAAGGTTAAGGCATATTCACACAGTAGTCAAGTAGCGGGATTCGAACCCACAACCGTAATATCAATACTTCATACCCTTAACTAGTAGTACAATTACTGTACGGGTAACTCGAGGATGGGTCGGATTTCTCTTTACCATTTGTTTTAACACAATATTAAATCAGAAGTTCTTACCAGAAGAAAAAATTTCGTGATCTATGTCATGTTGAGTATAATACATTCCTTTTTTTATTTTCTTTATAATATTGTCAATGAAATCACTCGCCCATTTTGCTTTAGACCACGGATATTTGTTAGGTTGAGGTTTATTGAAGTGTGACGTATTTTCACACAATTCTTTATATTCTCCTCTAATCGGTTCCAAATATATTTTGCTTTCCATGTTGTGTTTCATCGGTCTCAAGGTACTTGAATGGTTACAATTAACAACATTTTTGTTAATTAAATTCCTCTGAGGTTTATTATAAATTAAATCTATCATTTTATCTTTGAATTGATTTAATACTTTCTTTTTCTGAGGTTTGATAGGATTCATATCCTCTTTCATTTGAATATTACTTTTCGATTCCTTTTTCTTAGAAACAGGATTGTGTATTCTATTACCAACGAAATTATGAACTGATTTCCGATTCGACATTTCATTATGGGAATTTTTTCTTCCAGGTACATTTAGATGTGTAGGGGATACGGAATTTTTCATTTGGTGTTCCAAAACTTTAATTCCCTTAGAATCCACCTTATTTCCTTTTGAATCTACGATCCACTCTTTCATATAAGGCCACACATGTCGGTCCAAACCGTTAAATTGTGGAGGATCGTAATCAACCATACGAAACGTAGAACTAAGTTCGTCTTTTCCTAATATAACAATTGGATATTTCAAGTTGACCAACCTCCTTTTAATTTCTGTTTGAGTTAATTTTGGATAGGCGTAATACCTTTGGTTGTTGAGTAATTGTTTGGACAAAGATCTATTTTCTTTCATAAAACAATTTCCCTTGTTATCTAAGGGATGTTTGTTTGCGTCATTAATTTTGACATCAGAAAAGTTTTTAAGACCGGCTTTACTAGATATTGACGATAAGAATACTTTTAAATCTTGAAATTTATTGTCTTCCTTCGATGTGTCGTTTTGTGCGTATTCTGACTTTTTTTCTGGTAAGGTTTCCTCGTCACTATTTGTATTTTCATTATCAATCAACTCAATGTAATCGTCTTGTAATTCATTTTTTCGTTGACCAGAATGTGGATTCTTAAATAAACCGTTTGGTTGACAATTCAAAAAGGGTTCTGTTTTATTTATTGCCCCACTTACATCAGTTGGATTGATAATTTTCTTACTAGCTTTTTGCTTATTGCACCTGTTTTTAATTGGTTTTTTCTTCGAAATTCGGGAACTTCGTAGACTTGCTACTGGAAGTTTGGTTAATTCTTTACAATTTGAGTTATCCTTTCTATTGACTATCGTAACTCTATCGAAGCTCGACGGCTTCGAACAAATGCTTTGTGATTTACTTTTAATGTCGTAACTAGATATATAAGAAAATTCCTCAGTAGTACATGTTTCAATAAGCCTGAAATTGTAAGAACATTTTTAAACATAAAAAAATTACTGCCACCAATTAATTCCCAACAAAGTTTTATAAAACAAATAAAGGTAAAGTGAACGCTTTCGTCCGTCACCTCTTATGGTTAAAATTTGTACAACGTTTAAGACATCTTAATTATTTACAACTAAGACAATGAAAGTTCTATCTACCCCGTTTCTTTTTGATTTTTAGTATAGTTTCCCTTTCTTTTAATTGTTTCAATACTGTCTTCAGACAAACGCGGCGATGTAATATAAGGAAATTTGTTCATGCTTCTTAATATCGTCCAAATATCACCAGGACGGACGATTTCACCTCTTTTTCTCGTTTGATTTATTTTTTGCATTTTGTTATTAAATCTCTTATCCTGGTTAAATCTCTTTTTATCTGCTTTTATCGCTGGTGTGCAAATTAGATCACCGTTGTAAAATTCGAATTTCTTCTCTTCTAGATTAGGACATCCGATTTTTTTCACGGGACGGCGTTTTCGTTTACATCTGCGATTGGTGTCGACTCGACTGTGATACTCCGATTCGTTCATGTCACTAACAGTTTGTTGACCACTAGCTAGCTCCTTTGATACAACTAAGCGTGAAGATTTGTCTTTCTTATTTTTACCTTTATTCGACTTAAATTCATCCGAACTAGTCTTATAAATCTTATACGCTTGGGAAAACGACGATGTCACATCATTAGGTTTCTTTTGAAAGATTTTCTTTTCAGTGGTTTTGGAAATTATGTGCACCTTTGTACAATTTAAATAAGGCGATGTTTGATCAAGAGGATTATTATGTTTTCCTAACTTGTTTGAAAAAGATGACATACTTGTGTTTTCACTGTAGTTCATTTTCATCGGAAGATTATTTGGTGCATTAACATTTTTATTAAAAGCGTAATTTGACAAAGTTCCATTATCATTTATTAAATTTTCGTTAGTCAAAGTTTTTGTGACCATTTTATTAATGTTAAAGACTTCGATTTTGTAGATTCTGAAATAGAGTAAGTCTGATAGTCAAAAACTTCATTAACAATGTTTTCACAGGTAGTTTTAGACAGGTTTAAAATGAGCATTTAAATATATATCAGTTTAATGGATACAGGTCGGAAGTATTGTATTATTACAAACTGCCTTCTATCTTGCCAATTACTTTTTGTATCCATACCATCTTCAAACAAATCAAAGAAACTGTTAAGAACATCATATCCAGTAACCAACACAGAACCTGCTTCAGGAACCATGCCCAACAAACCTAGTGTTTTTACATAAAATTCAACTTACTTGTCACAATAATTTCGAATAGTCTAAATTAAATTCGGATTATTTTTCACATGGAGATGACAACTAATTGTGATCTGAATGAAAAAAATATTTTCATTAACAAATATGAAAACAAAAAACCTACGCCATTGACATTAACAAATTATTCTAACAAATGACCCAGGATTACTTTTCAGAAAAGGTAAGTTTATTATGCCAAGTATATGTTTGTGTATTGTTATTTAAACTTTTTCATAAAAAGGTAAGTCGGTAAGTAACGAGCTCTTATTTTATGATGACGGGGGGTTAAAAGGGTTGTAATTAATAGTAAATATTAGGAGACCAAATAATATATTTGCAGAAACTACCTATCTACATATGTAAATGACAGCTTTTGATTCGATCCGACTTTAATGCGCTTGTTGATATTTAATTCAGTTAATTCTATTTCTATTATTACTTCGAATCCTCACCACCGACACCAATTGGCCACCAATCAGCCCCAAATGGACAAAAATCAAATAGGCACAAAATGCTACTTCCTGTGGCATATCCATAGAGGTAATTTACCTATTCTTTGACACACACTGACAGTTCAATCTTTGGTGGTAAACTAATTTACTGTCAAAGTCAAATGTTGCCGAAACTGTCAAGTTATAAATAAAAACAAATCAATAATAAAATCATCTTTTCTGTAATACTATTGTAAAACATTTTATAATCATGTCAACAGACAAAGAACTTAAAGTTGTACAATATGTACCTTTCAAATCTTTTGTACATCCTTCGTTTTGGCATAGTTTTACTGATATTAAGTTAAATATTGATAAACTGGATGAAGCCAAAAAAGATATTTACGGCCGTTACACGTACCGAGAAGATGTTGGAACAGTATTCGAAGTGGATGGGACATCTTTTAACAAGTAAGTGATTATTTGGAAAAGTAAACAAATACGTACTATCCTCTTCCAAGTATATAAAGGCTGTTCCACTCTCATTCGTCTTAGACAATTGTTATCATAATAACCAAGACTTTATGATGAATATTTTATTATTTTCAATGTATTCAGTCGTTTCGTTTCAGCAGTTATTGTAAGTCGATTTAATTTTTTCATTAATAAGATGAATATTATTTCATTACAAGGGTACCAGAGGTAGAACAACATTACATGAATGTAAAAGGAACATTAATCAATGTCAATAAGTTAGAGGACTTCAAACAGTCAGACAAAAGCATTTTACTTAAAAACTCCGGAGTAGAAGTATGGATGAATGTTAAATCTAAAGATTGGATCAAGGAGCCTAGTAGCTTGATTAAATTCTTCATCTACTCTTATTCTGTAAGTAAGCTTCTAATTTTGATTAGTAATCTCAACTTGCCCTTGGTTTTTAAACATTTTTCCATCTCAGTTGAGCTATAAGAAAAGAGAGAGATGGGAATATATTTTTTTACCAATGGTGGAAACCCATGCAAACTGTTAGCTTATTTGTCTCTAAGATAATAGTGATTTTAAATATTTTTTATAGTTACCTAATAAAACAGTTCTAAAGAAACCTCTACCAAATTGCAAAAATAAAAATACAGTATATTTACTACAATTTTAAGACATGTAAAACCGAGATTAACTGAATTGTGAATAAAGATATCTAACTGTAAATAAAATCCTTACATTTATTATTTAAATATTAAAATGCTATTTGAAAGTGTTGTCTGTCACAATAATTAAGCTTTAAACTATTTTACAGGATCTCAAAAAGTACCGTTATTATTACTGGTTTGGATTCCCATGTCCTAATCAACCAATGGTACACATTAATGATGAACCAGCATCAATAACAACAATATTCAATGAACAACAACTCGAACAATTAAAAAATGGATTTAACAATCTTGATGTAACGCAAAGACATTATTTTGCGATCACAAAGAATGCCGATATAGTCACTGTTGATTGCTTATCAAAGATATTAGACCCGAAGAAAGAAGAACAAAGTAAAGATGTTTTGTCTATGATTTATTTGGCATTTACCGATCCAAGTAGTAGTGCCAGTCCTGGATGGCCAATGAGGTTATTTATTGCAGCTCTTTTGGACCATTGTCCTGATCTATATGATTCAGATATAAGTATAATAGGATTGAGATGCAGTGTTAATGGAAGTTTACAGAAAAGTCAGGTTTACAACATTAAAATACCACAGGTACAATTTTTTTATATCTTGGAGGCTCAGAACATAGTAGTAGTTGCACAGAACATAATATTAGGTGTAGCGCGGCTTTAAAGGATTCGGAATTGTTATAAAGATGCTCGGAATTTAAAAAAAACTTAAGTAGCTTATGTGTAATCCAGACTATTTACTACTGGACCAAATTTCATCTATATTCAGCAAATGTTTAAGCTTCACACTGTAACATCCATCATCATCATGTATGTAAGTAGAAAATGTTTTTAACAGGTATCGGAGACAAGCAAAGAAGGTGCAGGTTGGGTTGGCTGGGAAAGAAATGACAAGGGAGCTTTAGGTCCAAAACTAGCGGTTATGTCTTCATCCATGGACCCTATAAAGTAAGATAAAACTTTACAGTAGTCAAAAATCAACTAGATTTTTTAGCCCAAATTCACTCTTGAATTAGAAAAACATACTTTTTATATCATTTTAGATATTTTAAAATAATTAGAATTTCATATCACATCTATCTCTTTCTATACTGCCAACATTCAACAAGTACACAAGATTGAAAGAGATAGATAATAGAATGTCAGCTCCACACTTGTTTTATGGTGAATAATGTAGCAATTCTAGTACAACATTATGTTAACTGTTGTCTCTTTCATTATCTTTGTAAAAAAAAGAGACAACTATGTTTTTGAACATGTGCTTTAGTAGCAGAGACTCAGTAATACAGATCTAGTGTACATGATTAAAATTATTGTATACAATTTACTATTACAGGTTAGCGGAATCATCTTCAGATCTTAATATGAGATTAATGAAATGGCGATTAGTGCCAGATCTTGATTTGGATGTGATGAAGAGAACTAAGTGTCTCTTGCTTGGTGCGGGAACACTGGGCTGCCATGTTGCTCGAAACCTTTTGGTATGTTATATTTTTAATCCTATTTTTAATAACAAATGAAACTTAAATCTAGTAAAGATTTCATAGCTTATATAGAATATGTGTGTTTCCTTATTTTGTTATTGAAAAAAAAAATTGGTAATTGTGTAAGGAAGTTTAAACTATGTAGGTATGGTAATGTAAAATTGTTCTTTGTAAATAATTCAGATTAGACAATAGTTTTAGATGAAAACTGAGTTTAAGTTTTTTTTAATACAAACAGATTTTTGTTAATTTACTATTTCTTATCCAAAATAAACTTTAGGCTTATCCTAGGAATGGTTAACAACAATAGTCGAAAGGCGGGATCCGAACCGTCGACTACGTGATTGGGCATCCATACATTTGACCATTAGACTATTGGCACTTCAAATTGATACACCATAATGTATATTTCATATAGGTTTTTTTTAATATCTATATTATATTTTTTTCTAGGCTTGGGGTTTCCGTAACATAACATTTGTTGACAATGCTAAAGTATCGTATTCGAATCCTACAAGACAAGTTCTGTATACACACCAGGACTGTCTCAATGGCGGACAGAAAAAGGCTGAAGCTGCGGCTAATAGTTTAAAACTGATTCTACCCACAGTTGTAAGTATTATGTGGTTCAAATTGACTTACAATTTCAATTTGATTAAACTAACAAAATTATGTATTATTATTGTTTCAATTGTAGGTCTAAATCTATTTTTAATTTGATAATTTCATTTTACAATTATGGTTGACCAATTAGGAACTTAGTAAGAATATAAATTGACAGAGTTCACAATTTAACAGTAACACACATATGTAAGGAATATCTCATTAAAAGACAGTAACCTTTTAAATGTGTATTTGGCTTTTATTGATTTTACATATTTTATTTATTTTAGAACAGTAAAAGCATCTTCGCACACATACCAATGCCGGGTTACCCTGTTGGCGAGGATTTGATGGAGGAGATGTACAATAACGTGAAGTTAGTAACAGACGCGATTGTGGAACATGACGTTATCTTCTTACTGCTGGACTCGAGGGAGGCGCGCTGGCTGCCCACGGTTATTGCAGCGGTACATGGCAAGGTACATTAAAGAAATATTATTATTTGCTTAATAACTAAAAACCCTTAAATGTATGACTTACTACCTTTCGCACGCGACTCCGTCCGCGTGGAATTAAAAAATAACGAAAGGAGCCTATGTGTTTTTTCACACTATCCTCTACATCTATACCAAATTTCATGGAAATCCGTTCAGCTGTTTAGACTACAAACTCTAACAAACATCCATCTAAACTTTCACATTTATAATATTATTATGATAGTGTAAATTCCAGGGAAGAAACTGATATGTAAAAAATGGTTCAATCGTTTTGGAG